GTGGGACTGAAAAAACAAGCAGTTCACAGGATCCTTTCTACACTTTCACTGAAATTCCAGAAGCCCACAGCCTGGAAACAGGAATTTCAGCTTCTGCCAGGGAACATAACTCCATTCCCTTGCAGATCTTATGGGTGTTAACATGGACCTTAATTAAACACATGCTGTTTGGCCTGGAGCTACGTAGGTGAAATTTGGCTAAGTTTGTAATGGCTGCTTCCAGGCACAGTAACTGTTTCTGTTTAATTTTGTTGCTCCTTCTTCTTTCCCTTGAAAATTCTGGGAGAATTTTTCTGATGAAAACACAGAAAGTGAGTGGAAAAAAAGAAAAGCGAAATGAGAGGAATGGAAAGGAATCAATAGAATCTAGAATTCTGGTGAGGTGAGAAGTGAGCCAGGCAACTGAAACCATCTGGGAATTGGAAAGGAAATGGAATGGAAATGCCTGGCACTGGTTGCATGCAAAGAGCAGGAACATGAGCCAGTTTTCTGGGCAGGATTGAACATGGAGGTAAAAAAGGAGGAAAAGTTTCTATACAAGGAAACTGCAATCAGGATCCTGTGACAAAAACAGAGACTACAAGGAGCTGGAGTGTAAAGGGAGAAGTGTATGTTTAAGAAGCATTTCTGAAGTTAGAAATCACTGTGAGGTGCAGCAGCTTGTGTAAGGCAATGGTGGACGCTGAGTGGAACAAACTCTCTCCAGACCTCTTGGCTCTGAGTTCTGAACAGCAGACAGGCAGCCACAGGGTTTATATGTGGAAAAAACTGCTTGTAGCATAAAACAGCCTTGTAGCAACATATTTCCTCTCCAGGGCCTTCCAATAAATTGGGTGTAATTCTGACTAACAATCCTCTTTGTGAGACCTAATGTATTCATCTCATGTTGGATCCAGAATTCCTTAGCTTTTCTGTCTGAAATATGTTCCATGACTGAAGCAGGTTTCTCCAGTCCATTGGTGGATAATCTTTGCAACATCTTCACTGTCTCTCCTGAAGTTAACAAGGAGCTGATCTTATTCTACACACTGACTTGCTGGAGTTTCACAATGCACTAACAGGAGGGATGGCAGGGAGTGAGAATGGGAAGCTGGTGTCAGTGTTCACCACAGCTGGCTGTGGGCTGGCCCACTGCAGCTGGAGGAACACAGCTGGCATTGAGTGCCACTGGCATTAGGGAGGGGTTCAGTGGGCTGGGGAAAGCTGGAAGTGGTTGGGCAAAGGGTTGGAATTGTGTCCAAAGGAGATCCTCCTTCTCAAAGGAGTCTGTGACTTGGGCAGCATGCAGGCGTGGGGAGAAAGACTGAGCCTGGGGTTCAGGAGTGAAAATTAGACTCTGAGAAAAATGAGAGTGGGATAAACTTCTGGGACTGGGAAAAATTAGGGCAGTCCCAGTGGAAGGGGATAAGTAGAATCAGTCAAACATGACAAAAAGAACAGAACAATTGTCTTCAGCCATTAGAGTGTATTCCCCTTCTGATCCTAGAGAAAAAGGCACAGATCCCCATAGCTATGACTGATGTGTGGCTTGACTATCATAACCTATGACCATCTTAGAGATGATCTCACAATGGATCTGCAAGATGGAATTTAATTAATTTAGGCTGTGCTTAATCCTGGCATTTCCTAACTTCACTGGGCTTGACCTCACCACATTAGTACACTCTTTACAGTGCTCTAGAGACCATGGATATATTATAAATGTATATAGCATTAGTCTCAATCAGCTACTGTCTATTTTTAAAAAATTAAATTAAAATATTCTTTGATTTTAAATATGGATTTGGCTTGTATGAATTTTCCTTTTGATTTTTCCTCCTTTATACAAATAATTGTAAAAGTGCACTATAAAGCAGTTTGTCAGTAGTAACTATGACTTACAGAACAGTCCCAGGTGTATGAACATTAATTATGACTTCTTATTAACAAATGCATTAACTGATCATTCATTTCATAATTACTTTTCAAGGATCTAGCCCATCTGTGTTAGCTTTGCAAAAGCTCCACAGAAATCTACTGGAAGGACTCTCAGAGCACACTGCTGATCCTAGACACAAGCTGTGTCTTACTCATTAGCATTTCTTTCCAGTCATGAAAACTGCCTCACAAAGCAACCTCTAGGAGTTCTCTAGCAATTCTAGGAGCCAGGGCTTTAAAAAAATGTAAACTCTTGGGACATGTGATTAAAGAATTTGACACATTGAGAAATGGCAAGACTGTGGATGCTACAGGTGGGTGCATGCAACTGAATCTGATTCTGTGATACTCTGTGAATTCTCCTTATTGTTTGAATCATGTATCATTTGCTTGTTTTATTTCAAAAAGCAATCTTTCTAATGTATAACCTTTCCTCCCCTGTTCTCTCATCTATCCATTATACTACATAAATGCATCTTGTGTTCTGTAAAACCCGTCTTTGCAATCCTTCCTCACTAACTCACTTTTCTCTCTTTCAAAATGTCTCTATTTTCATTACTTTCACAAATTATTTCAGGATTGCTATGAACTTGCCATATAGTTTATTTATTCTTTGTGGTAATGGCCACAAAAGCAGAAACACAGAAAACAGATTTCCGGCTTAGTCCTCTGACCTTTGGAAGGTCTGTTTTCCCTAGTCTTCCAGCCTTCCATAGCATTGATTGTTAGGGGTCAACAGAAGTTTCTTTGTGATTACTTTATATTCAATTCACTTCCAGTGCTTTTACTAGTTATCAAGAGTTTACACAGTTGGGTGGCATTGGGTTGTCTACAATGAGTGGCTGAGAAACATGTGGGTGTTCAGCCTGGAGAAAAAAGAAACAGGGGGGACCTGAAAGGAGGTTGTAGCCAGGTGGGGAATTGGGTTCTTGTCCCCAGTAACAAGAGATAGGATGAGAGGATAGTCCTAAACTGTGCCAGGGAAGGTTTAGGTTGGACATTAGGAAGAATTTCTTCACAGAAGGGGTGATTAGACATTGGAGTGGGCTGCCCAGGGAGGTGGCAGAGTCAATGTCCCTGAAGGGCTGGGCATGTGCCTCACTCAGTGCCTTGGTCTAGTGTACAGTTCAGTCATAGGCTGGACTCCAATCTAATAGATTCTGTGATTATTAGAGGACATTCACTTTTTTTGCTATGTAAGGTAACCCACAGTCCTGCAGGTCTCCTCCAGGACTTCTTATGGGCCCAGAGGCGCCCTTCAGCTGATTTACAGGCACAGACCAACACTTTTCCTGTCACAGGGTGTGACTGAACAGTGGGCTCTGAAAGGGCCGAGGGGATGCTCTTGCCCTGGGAGGATGGAGCCCTTGTGTGGGGCTGTTGGAGGAGCGCTGCCCGCCTTCCCCGGGCTCACTGTGGTGCCAGGCTGCTGCGATACACTCCATGCGACAGCGCACCGTGGCTTTGCCAGGGCCCCGTGCCAAACCTCGCCCTCACGGGCGGCACATGGCGGAGTGTCACACCTGACCTCCCTTCCCCACGAAGCCGGTGACAGGGCCACTCTCCCCGGATGCTCCGTGCCCCGCCAGGGCCCTCACTCGGGTCCCTGCAAGAGCACCCGAGAGATCGTTCTCTCGCTCCTGGGGAGCCCAGAGCATCCCACACAGCTGCCGGGCGGACGCCCCGACCTTCAGGGGAGCCGCCCCGCGGGCCCGCCCTCCAGGCGCGGCGCGGGGCGGGCGGGCAGGTGAGGCGGCGCCGGCCATTGGGAGCGGGCGGTGACCGGCGCGGAGCCGCCCCGCCCCGCCGCTATATGAGGCGAGGGGCGGGCGGCGGGGCGGGCCTGAGCGTGTGCGGGCACCGAGGTGAGCGGGGAGGCGGGAGTGAGCCAGCCGGGCGGTGTGGGGCCGGCGGGCCCCGCAGCGCGGCGGGAGGTGGAGGAGGTGAATCCCCGGCAGGAAGGAGCCGCTGTTCCTCCCTTCCCCGCTCCTCCGCCACCGCCCCGCTCGCGGAGCCGTGGCGGCCGTGCCCTTCTCCTCCCCGGGAGGAGCTCCCTGGCCATCCCTGGCAAGGACGCGATGGAGGGCTCGCCCCGGCTCCCCCGGCGGCGGAGGCTGTCCCGGGGAAAGGCGGGTTCTGCCCTGGCTGCCCGCTGGGGTGATGTAGTGCGGCCTCCCCGGCGGCGGGCAGGCAGAATTGTGGTGTCATTGCTTTCCAGGAGCAGGTGTCCGTAAGTAGTTGAAGAAGAGGGTGGCCGAGCGTGTCTTGGCAGAAACTCTGCTCAAGGTTACGGCCCCTCCAATGGAAGCCGGTGTCTTGCCGTGGCACAGGCACGTTTTTTGGATGGGTGTAGGCAGGGACCAGTTCCTCAGAAAGAATGATGCTGTTGTAACTAAGCTGGCTTAGTTTGCTTTATCAAACGTTTTTCTTTTTTTTTTTTTTCTTTTTTTTTTTCTTTTTTTTTTTTTTGGTCTGTGTGGTTTTGGTTTTTTTAATCGAATTGACTTTAAGTTCTCGGTTGGGTTGCTGTGGAGGTCATGAAAGGGTAAACCGATTTAAGGGGATTGAGAAGAAGAGGGGCTATGCCTTCAGGCATAGCCCTTCTAAATTTTCATTCAGGCTGCAGCCCGGATGCCAGGCTGGCGGTGTGATTTGCAATTGCTTGCTTGCAGTTTTTCCCCTGTGGGTGATGTGTGCAGGAAACCTGCCTAGTTTTATATGGTTTATATTGAGTTTCTGGAATCATCCCCTGTGCTGTCTAATTCTGCCTATGTAAAGGATTTTTGGTGTCTGCATGGGTGGGGAGGCTGCGAACAATACGAAGTTTGCCTTGTTTTGGAATTCTTGCTACAGATATTTTGAAAGGGAGGGAGAAGCGTGGAAAAATTCTGGTCGATCCTTCCCGACACTCAATTTTGTGGCTAAATGTTCTGTGACAAGAAAAGGCATGACTTGAAAAGGGGGGAGCAGGGTGTGAGAGAGCTAAATGAAAGAATTTCTTTGCAGCTCCATCCATTTCAATGGTGCGGCTTTCCCAAGCCCCTTTCCATCGTCCATCATCACCTTCAGGCCGGTCGGAGGAAGGGGAGGAGAAGAGGATGAAGGCGGCCAAGCAGCAGGTGACCCCGGCTGGGGAGAGCCCGGCTCCCGCCAGCCCCCTGCAGTCCGCGCTGAGCACGGCGGCCTCTCCTTCCCAGGCCTACGAGATCTACATCGACAACGGGCTCATCTGCCTCAAACACAAGATCAGGAACATCGAGAAAAAGAAGGTAACTCGGTTTTCTTGCCTGTGCCGCCTATTTAAGCTGCCGGTTGTAAAGCTCATTGCCTTTAAAATAATATTTCATGTTATTTCCATTCTTTTTAACAGCTGGAATAAGGTTATGTGTATATCAAGAGCTACTATATATTGATTGAAGCTGAAGATGCTTCTCTTGACCAAATCAGTTCAGAACAAACTTGCATCTGATTTAAACGTGATTGTAGTCTTGCAGAAATCTTTCATCAATTATATGCATCTGATATTAATTGAGATGTAAATTGTAAAATTGGAAGTTAGAACAAGTGTTTCTTCTGACAGTGGAAATGTCAGATTATATTAAATATGTACTGCCCTTTATTTTGCATAAATATTTGACTTGCATATTTTAAATACAGGCAAATGTTACTGACTGGAAAACTTATACAGAAATCCTCCAAAACTTGATCTCTCATTTTAACCTCTGCTTTCCTGAGGCTGGGGGAACAGAACAGTGTTAGTAAGAATAATAACTGAGATAATTATACCCCTAAAACATTGTAGCTGTGGCTAATCAGACTTCTGCATTCTAAGGCTTTTCAGCTGATTGGCAGGTGACTGTGTGCTTGGCTTTGAGTTGAGAGAATGCTATTTTCTGTAGGATAAAAGATGTGAAGGTGCTGTTGCTTTCAGTGCTGGATCAGGATTACAAGTAAAGCAATTGTGTGAATATGTTGTGCTGCTCTAAATGCCTGAAAAGCTTTTAGTTATGTCTTAGGGCAAGGAGAGAGAGTAGATCAGACATCTGGCCATGTGCTTAGAGGACTTGATCCTCCTGCAGGAGATGCAGTATTACTGCTGTCTCATGTCATGCATCATGCTGTAATTTTGAATAGCATCAGACAAGCAGGTTTCCTTTTTATGATTAGACAACTTTGTGTTGTATTCTAATTCTGTCCAAGGAAGCTTCTTGTTGTGAATTTCTCTGGTACCTTTGATTTTTCACATGAATGACAATATGGCCTTATCAGCAAATAAAACTGTGACTTACTGAAATGAGTAGGAAGTATTCCTAGTCTTACACTCCTATAGGTACTGTGTCAGTGAAGCTCTAGATACACAAATGGAATAGCATTTGATTTCATGGTAGTGAAGTCACCTTTCTTTTCCCTAAAAAAGTTTTGCAATACCAAATGGTTTGGTTTTGTATTATTTGCATCAGCATTTAAAGACTGCTTTGGTATATTGGGAATAAATCTTATTTCCTCCCTGAGTACAGTTGTCCACTTTCTTAGGGAGCAGGGCTATAAATTTTTGATGTAACTAAAGCCAAATTTTTGAAAGATGTAACAAGGATTATTCAAGGATGATATAACTAAATTCCAGCATTGACTTGGGAAAGCTAAACAAGCCTACCTTAAACAAGGACACTGGATGTATTTGAAGCCATTTAAAGATCTTGGATCAATGCATTAATAGTTCCTAAATGAAACAAAAGTAGCAAGTAAGAACTGAAAGATCAGTGATAGGGAAAGGAAGTGGACAGTCCTGCAGACTGAAATTGCCGAATCAAAGGCATAGCAAAACTCAGTGTTCTTTTCTCCAGAAACAAGAGGAAGTAGGAGGTTTTCTGTTCTATGTTACAGTATTTCACTCATACCCCTTGCTTAATTTTTTGTATTGATTTCTGTATAATGTTTACTTTGAATTTTCTGCAGCTCAAACTCGAAGATTACAAAGATCGTCTGAAGAAGGGGGAAGCCCTCAATCAAGACCAATTGGTAAGCTCTTGCTTTTTAGGCAGGAGTGGAAAGCCTCAAAGCCTTCTGATCTGGAAGGATGGGTTGCTGAAGGAGACAAGGGTGTTTTTATAGAAGCAGTACCTAAAGGGATTTTTCACAAAACCAAATTAACAAATTATTGGTTATCAGGCTGAATGTTGAGCCCATGAGCTCCGTTGCCTGTTTTAACCTTCATGGTGTTCCCTGAAGGAATAGAAGATCCCTGTTTATCTTTGCTCTGTAGACTTTCAGCTTCAGTGCTCCTGCACTTCTGTTTCTTAATGAGGTAACTGTGTGCAGCTGATCTATATGGCAATGCAGTGCCAGAACCTAAGCCTCAAGAATTCTGAGATAGCTAATTAATCCCCATGATTTCTTCATTAGCAGCTATTACTTGAAATTGCCTGTTGTCTGCACAGTGCTGTTGGTTACAAGTAGCTGTTAATATAACTGACAGTGTTGGCTCTTTTTTGTCTTGGTCTGGAATGGATTTTTAGATCTGAAACCAAGTTTCTGTAACTTGAAAACTTTAGCAGAGCTGAGTAGTAGTGTCACATAATCCAAAGAGCTTATTGCTCTACTAATCCAGGAGTCATATTTTTAAAATGTAGTGGACACATGCTAAGGAGTAATTGTCTGATGAGGGATACTGACACTTCAGTGATAGTGCTGATCCTGCTAATGAACCAGCTGGAAAAATGTCACTGATTGCTAACTTTATCACAGTGCAGCAGTCTGAGAACACAAATTCTATTTTCTTACTGTGAATCATTTGGAAAAGAGTTAGACATAAGTGGGATGAGAGGGGGGAAATGGTACCTTCTTAGAAGTAGAGTAAACCTGCTGGAGTAAATTGTCACTTAGTACTTAACTACAAAATCTGATGTGGTGTCTTGCCATATCAAGTGCAAAAGTAAATTAATTAAATCTGATGGTTTGGAGTAGGTTGATGACCTTTCAATTCCTCTCAACTCAATCTTCAATCAGGTGGGCAAGAAACTTTTGTGTTTAGATCATCGGTGTTCTTCACAATCTGTTTGCTGCCATGAACAGTGAGACTGTTGAACAATGTTCTGTAAGTTGGAATAGTCTTGAATGTATTGACTGCTTTGGTATATATGCCCTGGACTGTGAGAAGCTGTTAGGTGACAGTGTTGGAAAATGGCATTAATTTGATTACTGGTTTTTAGTATTCCTAGCTGGGCTTCACTTTTTGCATTTTAGTGTCTTCATCTCAGTTTCTGGAGTTTCTTAGCCTACTAAAATGAAGAACTAAATTCAGTCTTTGTAGTGAAGGTGACCATTGTAGAAGCACATATGCACTCAATATTTAATTAATAATCTTGTAAAGTCTGCTGCTTCAGAGGTTAAGATATAGAAATATATTGCATTTGTAACTTTCAGATGCAAATTTGTGGTGTATGTACAAATTGAAGCTGGGGTAGAGCTTAATAGAACTTAACACCTAAAGAAACCAACTGCCTTGTAATACAGTGGTGTTCTTAATATGACTTGATGTCATCTATAGCTTTAATTTTCTCACACAGAGGAAGAAGTGCATGTCTGGTGATGAACTTGTTTTGCAAGCAATTTGGATTAAGCTGTAATTACTTATGGTGCATGCCTGCCAGACCTAATGTGTGTGCTAGACTTACATTAGGAAACATTTGTTTCAAGAATGAGGAGCTTCCAGCAGCTTATTGTGCTTTTTGCAAGCTGAGCAGATTTTCCTCAGTGCTGTTCTTCGAACGTGCTGTTAATGAATGTTAATAACAGGTGTGACAGAAGAAAGCTATTGCTTTCCTGTGGGCTGAGGTACAGCCTGGCATGAAAGCAGTGGTAGCTGTTCTTGATGTTTTCAGGTGCAGAGTTTTACTCTGCAATTTGTGTTGTTAAAAGCACAATTACTGTAACCTGACTAGTAAATTGTTGGTGTTAATTGTGAGTCTTCCTCAAATGTGTGGGCATTGGATTCTTAGAAGTCCTTCTCTCAAATGCTGAGTGAATTGCTAAATACTACTTCAAAGCTGCTTGGTAAATTGTGTGAAGACAAACCTAAACTACCAGGTGAGAGCTTGCACTTTGTGTTGAGTAGCATTTAGTCCAGGTGGTGTCTAGTATGTCACCAACAAGGGAATAAAAGGAACTGAGCAATCAGACTGAACAAATGGACATATTACTTGTTTTCCAGTTGCTTAGGAACACATATGGAATTTGCAGATGTCCCAAATCTTACTGGGACAGTAGATTAAGCTTTTGTCACTGCACTGATGAAACACTGACACTGCTGTGAACGAGCTTTATGTTAGACTGATGGGCCTGTTCTAGAAAAACCTGTGATATCATGTCAGGAGCATAAACCAAACTGGATGTAAAACACCTGTGAATAACTGGAATTAAACTTGTTACTTCATGCCTTGTGGTGTGAAGATATGGGCAGCAGGTCTGGACAAAAGGCATTTTGCTATCTTCAGAGCTGACAAGGGAACTTGGAGAAATTAATTAACCCATTAAAAATGGGGTATATCAAAATGCAATTAATAATCCACTGCAATTATTTTTGAAGACTAGCCAGTAAAATATTGGTTCAAGTCATTAGTAAAGACAGGAACATGGCTTCTTTTGTGGAAACTAAATTGGAAAGACTTATTTCTGGAAGTATGACTTGCTGTGTATATTTCTAAAGTTGGAACAAATTTTCTTTAAAGGTGTTCAGCTAAGCATGAGGGTAGAAGATCTGTGCTGAATTTCTCCTGTATTCCTTCCAGGTTTTTAGACCAGTCTGATTTTAAATAGCTGTTTACCTCTGATTGCCAAGACCTATATAGGAAAACTTGTTGGGTATCTGTCTGGTGGTATGAGCTGGCTTTGAACTGCATCTCAGACAGTTACAGGTGAATGATAGATGAAATTAAAGTACCAGCCCCTGACACAGTATCTTTAAAAAGCTACAGTTTCAGAGAAGAACACACTAAATTCTTCACAATTAGAATTTAAGTACAAGGCAATAGAGTTGCAATCAGTAGTCTTAGGCATGAAAAATACATTTTTAATCTATTCCTTTGTAGGAGGCAGTAGAGAAATATGATGAAGTAGTGCACAACCTGGAATTTGCCAAGGAGCTTCACAAGACTTTTTCAGGGCTTAGCCAAGATGTAAGTATAACTATTCTTCTCTATATTGACAGGAGGTAACTGCAGAACTTTGCACTACTACTTTAATGACTACATTTCTATTCCAGTGCACCCCTTGCTAGGAAGTTCTTGTCTGGTTTCTCTGCAGCAGTGAAGCTTAGGCATATGAGGAGCAGTAGATTAAGGAGAACTGATTATTTGGTGCTTGTTAACCAGTTGTCTGTTTCTGATCCCTTGGTAGGCAAAGTCTAAAGAAGCTTCAGTGACTCCAGTGGTGGGCCCCTGAATGGCTGGGGCCTGGAAAATGAGACCTGTGGGGAGAGCCTGGAACATCTGGGCTTGTTGGGCCTGGTGAAGTGAAGGCTTGCCAGGAGATGCACAATTATCCTTCAGACAGCAAATACTGAAAGGGTGGAGCTGGGATTTTTGCTGAGAGATGTGGTAGGAGAAGCAATGATCATTACTTGAAATAGATGCTAACCAGGTAGGAGGAAATGGTCGCTCAGTGGGTGATTAAACATTAGAAGCAGGCTGCCTAGGGAAGTGGTAAAATCTGTCCTTGGATTTCTTCAATGCTTGACTGCACAAAGCTCCAAGAAATCTGGTCTGGATTCCCTGTAGCCTTTCTGGAGGTTGGCCTAGATGATGTCCCAAGATCCCTTCCAAACTGAATTTTTTACTGCTTCTGGTGAGGGAAAATGCTGGTTTTAAATCACTTTGACTTCAATGAGAAGTACATCCCTCAGTAAAATTTAACTGAAGCTTGTGGAGTTTGCTACTCAATCTGCCATAATTGTCTCTAATAGTGGCAAGACACTGAATTAGTGCTTTATTTAGGTCTTTGTGCAGGATTTAAGCCACTCCATACATTATTTTTATGCAAGCAAGTGTTTTATCTTTGGAGAAACTGGTCTCTTGGCTCAAGCAAATTCTACACTTACAGAAGATTTGATGCAAGGTAGTGGTAGGGAAGCTAAACATGATTAGTCACTGCTCTGGCATTATTTCTACAGAATGCTGAAGGACTGGTACCTTATGACCCAGTGTATCTTTGTGCAGGTGTTTTAAATAATCCAGCATTCTACCAGTTCATGTTTGTTCTTGAACTTATGCTGTATTTAAAGGCTAACCCACCTTGTTTTTAACTTGGCTCTGCTTCTATTGCAAAGGATTCTACAGTCAATAGCCATTACTGGAACACTAGGGGCCATTCTGGCAACAGCATCCTTGCATCCTTTGCAGTGTGTTGTAGGGAACAAAATTTTCATAGATTGTGACACATATTGAGGCATTTTAAATTCTGCAGTTACTTGGATAGCTTCTGCTCGGTAGTTCTGTTAGTGCATGATGAGAGACTTGAATACATATTCTGTATGTGTTCTGTAATTCCATATTGTTGCTTATTTAATGAATGTTTTAGCCTTCTGCTAACAGAAATAATTGTAGGATTCTGCTGTATCCTTTAAGCTGGGGTATTCAAAAGTGAAGAGCAGTTGTCTTACTAGGAGAAACTTGAGACAACTTACTAAGAGACAACTTCTGCCTCTATAACTCTGTGGTAAATGTTAAAGATCAGCTAGGCCTGGATTGATGCATTGGTATCAATTCCATCATTTTCTTTAAAAGCTGTTACAATAAAACAACTATTAGGCATAATCATGGTCTGGCTATCACAAGTGAAGCTACTAGTATCCAGTTTGACTGAAAGTTAGATGTGTAGACAGTAGATAAATGGAGAGCTCTTCCAATGGAGGAGCTGAAAAGATTCTGGATATCTGAGGAATTAGGGGCTTCTCTTATCTAACCATAACAAACAGTTAGTTTCCTCATTGTAGGATAATCAATATTAGAACTCAATGTTTTGTCCCAGAATCTTGTTACTAAACAGGATTAGACACTAAATTGTGTTTAATTGTTGATTTTGGCATTAAAATAGCTGCTGAAAGCACAGAAGAAGGCTCAGAGGAGAGAGAGCCTATTGAAGCTGGAAGCAGAGAAGAAGAAGCTGCGTACAATACTTCAAGTCCAGTATGTGCTACAGAACTTCACTCAAGAGCATGTTCAGAAAGATTTCAAAGGTGGTATGAATGGTGCAATATACCTGCCTTCTAAAGAACTAGACTACCTCATAAGATTTGCAAAACTGACATGTCCAGAAAGAAATGAGAACTTGAGGTAAGTTCAGGGGTTTTTGTCTATTAGTGTGCTTCATATGTTGTGGTAAATGTCCTCTGTTTGACACTGCTGCGTCTTTAAATACCATGTTTTGGAACATTAATTAAAATTCTCTTCAGTACACTTGCTTTTGTCTGAGATTAGGAATGTGAAGATTTACCTCACTCAGAGCTTTAGAGGGAAGCTGCAATAATTACAGCCCCAGGTGCAGGTTACAGACAGACTTTGCCATTTTACATCTCCCTGTGGGACTGAGGGGGCACAGTCCAGTACCATCCTTAGCAGGGAGGCTGGGGATGTGCTGCTTATCTGAGTTCTCACTGCTCATGAAGTGAAAAAAGTGCAGTAAAATCAGAACTCTTTCTGTATTCCATTTACATTGATGATTCAGGTGTGCTTCTTTATTCCAAGGAATGTAAGATGGTGCTCCTGAGGTGCTCTTGCTGTTAGCTTCAAAGTAGTTTTAAAAAATTGCCTAAAGTTTTTGATACCTCTGCACTAAATGTCATGCGTGGTGTTACAGAGGTAGTGTCAGAATCAGTGCTCATGTGGCACTGCTCTGGTGCTGTGATGGCTCATGCTTAGTGTGACAGCCTGTGTGGTAGGGTAGTGCAGCAAGAATAGTATTTGAATATGGAATAAGTAGTTTCTAAGTGGTAAGCTGAGACACTTTATGGATAAGTCATGTTTGACTGTGGACTAATTCTTTAGGTGCCTCAAAATTCTGGTCACTTGTCATACACTAGACTTGCCTAGTCTTTGCTCTTTAGTTAACTACTTCCAAAGAACAGCTGCTTACAAAAAGCTACACAACAGGACTGTCTCATCCCAATGAAGTAACTTTGTTTCTAGTTTACTCTTTTGGTATTACTTCTACAAGAAGCATAATCCTTTCCTTTGGGATACTGTGTTTCATTGCAGTGGACTGAAAAATTCCATCCTCTGGAGGAGGTGGATCTTGGACCTATAGAAGGTTTTCCAGGAGCTGCTAGTTAGTGAGAATGGCAGCTGTTGTTGGTTGCACCTGTACAAGTTCATGCAGTAAATGTGACCAGCTGATTAAGCAGCATAAACAGCAGTTGTTGCCCTGCTTGGGAATCCTGGCTTGTAATGAAATTCAGCCATGTAGTTTTGTGGGACAGTGCTTAGGATCTCTATATTGGCCAACAAAAGAAGTTAGGTTTGCTAGGTTAAATCTCTGTGCAAACAGAGACAGCTGAATTGCTTCCAGTGATTTCAGGGCTTACTATTCACTCTGTATGCAGGACATATATGAAGGCTGGACATTAGTGAATGTTGTAAAATGAGGGTTATTGGGATAGTGCAGCACTTGATCTTGGCTATGGTTCTACCTGGTAAAACTGTCATTTGTTTCAGTGTTGAAGACCAGATGGAGCAATCATCTCTCTACTTCTGGGACCTTCTAGAAGGAAGTGAGAAACCTGTGGTTGGAACAACATGTGAGTGTCTTATCTAGAGAAATAACTTAAAGATCTAAAATTTGTGTCCTTGTTAAACATCTTAAAGCCTGTGAATACACATGGGAGGTTACCAAACTAACTACTTTCAAGTGATGTGTGTATCTTGATTATCCAAGGATGAATGGCTGTTCCTAGTTCAGTTAAGTACAGGTCAATCAATGCCATGGGCTTTCATTTTCCAGTCAGGATTTACTCTTCAATCAGTGTACTAGTGTATTTTTGAGGAATACTAATGGTAGCAATTCAAAACCTAATGCATGAATACCTTTCAGAACAGTGGGAAGCTTTTTGTTTAGTTATGTGCAAATGGGTTAAGCTTGGAACAGTTCCCAGCCACGAAATGCTTAGTTGAGTACCCTGACATATTACAAAGCTTCATTGGCCCTGGGCTGAAGGTTCCACAGCATTGAAGAGTCTCCTTTCTTTGTAGGAATTCTAGACTCATATCTGTTCTCTCCCTACAGTGCAGGATGCCACACTAGTTGTTAATGGAACTTGCTGGGATTTCTCATCATGCACAGTTGCAGTCTTTCTTTGATGTAATGGAAGTGTCCTTACTTTTCAAGAGTAGGACTCTGCAGATCTTCTTCCATTTGTGGCACAATTCCAAAATCCCTGGTTGTAAGCCAACATAGACATTGTGTTCCTATTTACAACTTGCTTGTGAGGAAACTGCCCTTAATTGAGTTGTAGTATCTTTCTATTGCAAACAGCCCTTGCTTGTTGTGTTTATGCCAGTCTTGTAGCAGCTGTGTGGCAGCAATCTTCCATTTATTACTAACAGCAATGTCAGTAACTGTTAGAATAGAGCATTAGTGTGACCTGTTTAACTTCCACATACAGGTATCTGAACTGGCAGCTAGGTGTTAAATCTTCCCATGCAGTTCTGGACAAACTGCATGCTTGGATTGCTACAGGCTGGTAACCTTAGCCTTGTATCTGTTGACATGAATAGATTGTTTATCAGTATCTCTGTCCCTTTAGTGTCTGTCTTGCATCCCTTTGTGTGCAAGCTAGACTTCAGATAAAGCTGTTAGGTTGTTTTATTAGCATCCATTTCCTTGGAAGACAGTTTTTTATAGCCATAGTAAATTCTAGCTAGAATTCTTGTTTGTGTGGTTGTCACTGGTAGGAGTGATCTTTCACTGAAAGTTCTTCCTGTTTTCAAGGCTGTCTTGTTTCCAGCTCCTCTGAAACAACTTCTAGAACCACTGTTACTTCTGAGGTCTTACTCTGTACTTTGAGCTGCTGTCTCTTGTTTGCACAGAGGAGCAAACGGGACAGTGCTTCTGAGTACAGTTAAGCTTTTGTTCAACCATGTCAGCTCTGAATCTTTTCCAGCTTCAGAGGAGTAAGTTCATTCTGGGATCACTCCCTTGCATTTCCCCTGTTTGTCTCTACAGTTCTTAACTTTTCTTTCTGAGACACAGTCCTGTTATCAGCAAGAGTGTCTTGTAGAGTAGTTCCATTGTGACTGTTTAGCTTTACCTCTGTTGCAGTCTCACATGATTTTAATATCAAAGCTGGCTAGCTTATACGTGGTAAACAAAGCCCTTTCCAAGCATATGGGAGACCAGGTGGCTCTGTGTTTACCTTGTGGGCATTAAACACAGGCTGCAGCCTTGCCCTGGAATTGCAAAGATGTTTTCAACTGCATTAAATTAAGCAGTCTAATAAATAATTTCCTTTACTAAAACATTTTGCTATAGCTTGGTAAGATGTGTAAACTTGGAGTAACTGCAGTTCATATGAAGGGAGCAAGTAACAAGTCTTAATCTGTAATCTGAATGCCTCTTAATTTCAGATTTTGCTGTTTTAACTTTATGGGTTTTTACTCTTTAGATAAACACATGAAGGACCTGCTGTCCAAGCTTCTAGACTCTGGCTACTTCGAAAGTATCCCAACTCCTCGCACCACTGTGCCAGTAAAAGAATTGGAAGAAGTAAATAGAAAACCTGAGAAAACAAGACAGCTGTCAAAAGGAGAGTCTGCCAAAGAATCAGGTGAAATATTACAGGGTTCAATTTTTATATCAGTGTTGGGAAAGGCCTGAACCGAGCACTGAATTTGCATAGCTTGGTGCTAAATCTAATGCTGTGCTGTAGTTTGCTTGCAATGTAGTAACTGAAAGGGAACCTGCAGGGCTTGCAGCTCTATTTTAGCTAGTAACATAAAAAACCCCTTTAAATCATAGTAATAGAGTGCTTTTGCCTTCTGAGCAAGTTGAAGATGTGGGGACTGTCTGGTGTGTAGGGAAAGTTACATATTAGAATAACAAAATTATGAATACTATAAAATGTTTCTTGTTTAACTCTAAACTTCTGCAGCTGCAAAACTTAGAAAATTAAAGCTTGTCTAGAAATAGCATGTTGAATGGCAAGCTGAGCTTTCAGAATATCTGGTTTAGCAAATTGGTACTGCTATTTAAATATATTTAAAGAGCTGCTACTGTTTGATCTGCCCTTTTTGCATTTGATCAGTTGAAACAAATTAACATCCTTTCTCTAGAATCCATTATGGAGCTTATGAAATCTGAAATACAGCCACAGGAGGTAAGATACTCTACTGTTAATTGCTTGCCTTTTAGTATTGTGATTTTTTTTCAGACACATTTGTAAATGCTCTTCTGCTGCCCTTTTTTAAACTTAAAAAGGGTGTCTGAACAGTAATTTAAGTGTTGCTTGATGTAGGAAGCATTAAAGACTTGATTGCATTTGTTTTTAACCCCAAATTTTGGCATCTGGTGTTGTATTCTGGGATGAATGGAGAAGGATTACATGAAGCAGTATAGTACTTTATTGCTCTGGCACTTTCCTGACTAAAACAAAGCATCTGCCTTTAGAGTGGGAACATTGATCTTTTGTGTACTATGGAATAGAGAAAATAGACATCTGCTGAAAAGCTAAGCTTGTTGCAGTAGGCTTGATATTGGTGGGTTTGAGAATGTTGGTCTTACTCATTTGTCAGGAAGGTAGGAAACCCAAGAAAGGCTTGTGTGCACGGGGGTGTGTAGACCAGTTTCAGCAGCACTTCAGACTCCTGAACTTATGCTTTGACTGTCAGTACCATAGAAATCATTAGGCCTGGTTCAAAAGGTGGGGAGGGGTGTCTTTTTCCGAGTGGAATTACTGGTTCTTAAAATGCTGAATCCCTGTTTCCCAGGTATCCCACTAGAGGGTGTACTCTAGAACAAGTTTTTGTAATTTACTGCTAACACTGTTACCTGACTCTTATCTGGTATCTAGCCAGAAAAAATGTCTCAGCCAGTGAGCCTTGTACATTCTTCACTTCATGTATTTACTTCCTGTTCATGACCAAGTGGTAACTTAGAAAAGCTTAGGGCATCATCATTTAATGCTCAGACTTAACACTAAACGCAGCCTGCAGTTGAAGTCCTGTGGTATTTAATCTGAGACTCTGGTGACATTTTAGTATCAAAACTCCACTAAGAATGAGGGTTATACTTGGTTACTGGGTCTAATATTTTGGGATGCTTAGCAGAATGTCTGCTAATATAGTACCAGAGCTTTTTAGTGCTTAGAAGGAGAGCTACTTTTATAAAAATCACACTTGAACTTGATATTGTTACTGCCTAGGAACATGAGGTAGCATTGAGGATAAGGGCAGTAGGTTCACTCAGTTGGATTTTACTTGTGCTGTTCAGCACTGTTCCCTGTTTCTCTGTGGCATGCCAAGCAAAGCTAGTCTGCAGTGTTGTAGGATAAAGCCATGGCCACAGTTTCTATGACTAGTGCTGTCTAGGCTCTGCTTTGAGTCAGCAGTTTTCAGTAGCTGGGTGACCTTATTTAACTGACCTGAACTGTAGTAGCAAAATGTGTTCTTGGGAGCCATTAAGTTTCTTTGGTCTATATAGTTTCTCAACAGGCGTTATTTGCCTGAAGCAGAATACTCTGTCAAGAAGAAGCCAGAAGAGCCCAGATCTTGGGAAGCTGAGTGTGCTAGAAAACAAGAACCTCCAAAGTCCTGGGAGATGCTTGTTGATGTTAAAGAGCAGGAACAGAAGCAGAAACAAGAGACCTTAAAGCCTTGGGAAGCTCGTGTTAGACAGCAAGAACTCAAGAGACCAGATTCTCCAAAGCCTTGGGAAGCTCGTGGTAAAGAGGAGGAACAGAAGCGTGAGTCCGCAAAGCCCTGGGAGAGCCGTGTGGAGGAGGAACAACAGAAGAAGCCAGAAGCCCCAAAGGCATGGGTAGCACGTGTCCAAGAGGAGCAGGAGTCTCCCAAACCTTGGGTAGCAAAGGTCAGGGAAGAGCAGGACCAGAAGAAACAGGAATCACCTAAGCCATGGGTAACAAAAGTTAGGGAAGAGCAGGAACAGAAAAAGCAGGAGTCCTCAAAACCTTGGGTAACCAAAGTTAAGGAAGAACCAGAAGAAAAGCAGGAATCTCCAAAACCTTGGGTAACCCAAACTAGGGAGCAACCAGAACAAAAGAAGCCAGACCCTATGAAAACATGGGAAGTGCCTGTTAGGGAAGAGCCAGAGCAAAAGAAGCAGGAGCCTGTGAAGGCTTGGGCTGCACATGTTAGGGAGGAGCCAGAACAAAAGAAGCAGGAGACTCGAGAGGCTTGGGAAAAAGCTGACAGGCAGCAGCAAGTGTCATCTCCGCAGTTACAGAACCCTCCGAAGGCCTGGGCAGCTGCCAGTATGGGGCCAAAGGAACAGATGGGCCCAAAGAAGTTTGATATGGAACCCAAAGAAGTGAGTTGGCATATGTAGTATTATCTGTCATAAGCTTTTGACATTGGTGTATTGGAATAAAGCCACCTGTTAGCAGAGGGTATCTGAGGTGTGTTTTGTAGGCCAATATATAGACTCCAGTTTCATTCTTTCTTGGGGGAAATAATTCTGGAGGCTAAAGCTTATATTTGAATAGCAAGATGGTCTGCTTTGCTTTTTACATCAGCACAGTATTGCTGTGTTTGAACCTTGAATAACTGCTTTATGCATAAGACAGAAGAATTAACTTGGTTCATCTGTAGCTATTGGCTCTGGCCTCTGTTAGCAGTACAAAGCAGGTATGACTCATCCAGGGATCAAATACTTTGTGGCTGCATGTGAATAACACTTCAGTAATTTTTAGGCTTTTGATTAAAATAGCTGCTGATTCAAGAGAGATCTAATGTCTAGATCAAGCAATACCAGCTGTACAGGGGCTTAAATATGTATTTCCAGATGAATGCATAAACCATATTGCTGTCCTGGGAGTCTAACAATAGCATAGTGTTAGAAGTATAAAAGAAAAGCCATTGCATGGCTTACAGCTGAAGAGGCTGCTACCCTTTGGTCACATTACCTTCTTTCTCACCTGTGCCTGGGTAGCAGGAACACTGGTCACTGTCAAAAGAGATAACTGAGCTCTGCTATGTCTGCCTTAGGTCACTAAGAGAAATGTTAATCTAAAGGTAGACTTCAGGAAGAAAATGTGGGGAATTGAGCTGTACAACTCTGTACACACTGTTGTAACCACAACTGTCTTAGTGCAAGCAAGCAGGAGCCAGTATATCCCACGTTACTCATGGCAAATGATTAAGCTTGTATCTTGTCAGTAAACTTGGCAAAACTGAAAAAATGGATGTTCTTGTGTCTAGAGGCGGGACCGCAAACCGAAGGTTGAATATGAGATTAAAAAAGTATGTAATGATGCAGCACTGGGTAACAACATGGGATTAAGGTGTTTCAGCTTGAGCCATCTTTACTCTCAAGCTGAGTAGAATCTTATGTCCACTGGTGGTGGTGGTAGAAGTGGAAAACATGGTTGCCTCACTAAGTAACTCTGAGCACAAATAGGTGTTGTGCACCCAGTTATGCACGGTATTCCTGTAACTGAAACTAAGTACAGGAATAGTCTCAAGCACTTGTAAAGTCCCTTGGAATTTCTGGTGTCAGATTACCTTAAATGCAAGATGGTTCCTAATGAGAAGATGCTTCCTCTTATTTTTATGTGGGATAGATAGATGGATGGCTCAAGTGGTTGAGACAACTGCTGCAGTGAGTAAAGAGGAGGGTCTCCAGTCATCTGGAGAAACTTGCAAACTGCTTCAGAATCTCCCCCATAGTGTGCAGCTTTCAATATACAGACAAAACTAAACTAACTGCTGGAATGTGAGGTCACTGAAGGGTTATTGCTGAACTAAGTAAACAAAGCATTTTTTAAAGTATTCAAACTTGGATTTACAGAGACCATAGGAAAACATCAGCTGCCTTTAGTTTTGCCTAATAGCTATTGAGAAATCCTAATAATCCTAAAAGTATATTGAATGAGTAGAAAACAGTGTACTATCAACATAACTAGTTTCCATAACCAGTTTTTTAAAAGAGATGTCTTTGACTTCAAGTGCATACAAAGAACAATTAAAATCATGTTAAGCTTTTCAGATAACAATTTCTTTTGCCCTTGCTTATGTAAAAGAGAGGCAATGCAGTGCTGTAGCTGGATCTCTTTGAGAAAATCTATAAATGCTTTTGTGCAGGGATGTAGGCAAGGCAGATAAAAGACCTGTGCCACTGCTGCTGCCCTCTGAGCTGAATCTGTTAGACCTCTGAGGTCTTTAAAAGACTGTCTTGAGATATTAAACTATGCTTCTTTAACTTAATATACTGTAAAGTGGAGTACCTAAGAAGCTGAGCCTAAGACAGCAGGGTGAGCTGATATGCAACTTGTTTAACTGTTGTTCTATTTAAATGTTTGTGCAACCTGTGGACCAGGAAGCTTTGTTAGCGCTGAATTTGTGGCTTGGTATGGGAAAGCAAAACAGTTTGGCTTGTGCTGTCATCCAGCATGTCATTCAATTCATACCCACTGTGAATGCTGCTCTGAGTAGAAATGTGATTTTAATGGTGTATCTAAATGGCAATCACTACCTACAGCTTAGGTATTGCTATTCCACCTCATTTAGTACTCCATAACTGACAAATTTGAAGAGGAATTAAAGTCCTGTCCCATAGGATGAAGTTTCACTTGTAAATGAGATGGTTGAAGTGATATGTTAGTGTTGCATGTAGGTAGACCTTCAGTCTCTAAAAAATCCAGCTTTGACAGGAGTCCCTGGTAAATTTGCATTCTGACTAGCCAAATTCCAAAGTGGCTGTTGGTTTATTTGCAATGGCTTAACTGGTCCTAGGAAAAAAATTTTCGAGATGTTTCACCTCTACTTCCAGTTAGTCAGTTCTCTGCATGTAAGTCAAGATAGATACATTTTGCTGAATGTATGAGTAGTGTTGAAGTTAGGTTTCAGAAACATTTCTTATGACAAATGAAATTCTGAATTTACCAGTGCTGTTCAACTGTAGTGGTTCAAGCAGCATTCAGGTTAATGTTAGGTGATCTGAGCCAGACTAATAGGTCAGAGTCTGCTGCTAGCTTTTAATGACTACCAGAAACAGCATCTGGTTGTAGGCTAGAAAGAAAACATCTTAAGAATGTTAAGTACCTGCTCTTCTTCAAAGCATCATTTTATTAAAAAGCATAAAAACTGAAGTACTTTAATTTTCTGATACTTTTCTCTATGTAATCTTATATTGCACTTAAGTATTGTAGTTTTGAATCCCTAGGTACCAGCAAATCAATATGAGATAGCTTCACTGCAGCTTCTTCTGGCTGGTGTATTTTAATATCTATATGAACTAGAAAATAACTTCTGTGGAATGGAAAGTCTCAGTGTTTCAGTCCTAGCCTAAAGCCCTGATATCATATATGTAATCCTGCATTTTTGTACTTCTTGTAGTAAAGAATGCTACCAACAGAATGCCTAGAGTATGAGCTAGGGAAGGAGATAAAAGCTCTGACAAATTGTACAAGCATACAGGAATTTTATCATATTTGGAAGTAAAAGTGACCAGTCTTTTCTGCTTTCATGCCCTTGGGGCTTTTTAAACTTTTTTTGTTGTGTTTAATGTACAAGTCTCACTCATGTAGCTAATGGACTATCTTAAGAGTTTTAGACCCTGTCAGACTTGACCTAAAGGTGAAGAGCTTCTGTTACCCATTTTCAAACACACAGAACCAGTTTGGTCATGTCCCTGTGTCTTAGTAGAAATGGTAGTGGAGGAGGAAGAGGGTAACAAAAGCATTAATCAGTTTAACCCAGAATGGGTTTACTATGACAGGGAGTGTTGTAAAATTAAGACTTTTTGTAAGTGAGGACTAAAAGTGATGGACAGAAAGATCCAGGTTGCCAGTAACTAAATCTATAACTCACTGAGATTAAGTTAATTCAACTTTTGTCCTACACTTACATCCTTAAAAGCTGTAGTTCCTGTTCATTATTGGAAACTACAGCAATATAAACTTGTGTTTTTAACTGGTAGTTCGAGATAGTGTTTGTGCAGTGGAATTTCTAATTAAGATAGAGCTTTACAAAGATGCACTCTTTTAACTATAGAATGAAGCAAAACTTCTCACAGCTCATCAAGCAGTTGTCATGTGGGCCACATAGATAGTAGAAACTGAGTCCTGCAGAGTTAATAATGTGCTGGAAGCTTCTTGCCTGTGCATGGCATTGGAATTTCTGCAAAGGCCAGAGATTAGTTTCAGAAAACCATTGAAAGGAAACTCAAGAGTGTTTTAGGTGTGTCCTAAAAGTGAACAAAAAGCACTTCATCAGTTTATGGTGGATTTAGTGTGACAGTTGTCATCATAACACAAATACCCTTCTGCCCTATATTTTCCAATGACTATGCAAATAATAACATTGCTGTACAATATATTGAAGTTGTAACCTCCTGTTAGAAACACAGCTGTTTGTCCTGTAGGGAAAAAAAAAGACTTTCACATGTTCCTGCATATCTCAACATTTGGGCCAGCTAAAACAATGCAACTAAATGTCTTCAGATTTGCCTCCCTCTAGCTGCACAGACCAACATAAGAACAGTAAAACTTTAGAGAACCACAAAAAAATTATGGGTTTAAAATACTTCTAATGAGCCTACCTCCTCTCCATGCTGCTTTCAAAAGACATGTTAGACCATCTAGACAGTCCAATATTATTGTCACCTTATAAATAACAGGGCTTCTGCTGCTTAAGGAGCTTACTATAGCGATTTTTCTGTTACCTTAGACTGACTTGTTCCCTGACAAAACATTTCCCTCTTTTAAAGTGGAGTGAGAACCAGTTGGGATGAACTCTTAAGGAACCAGCTGAAATAATCAAGGAGTAATAAAGCCCTGCAAAAGTCCATGTTAGGCTCTTTTGTGGGAGCAGGGGTGTATTTATGCCAAACTGGGATGTAATACTTTCTGCAGGAGATGGTGCATTGAGATTATCGGGCTTTTTAGTAGAAACACTTTGGTCTCATCCTGACTTACTTGTTTGCAATATATCTCTTGGGTGCAATTTCTTCAGAATGTCTGAAAATGCCCTCCTAATAAAAGATCTGCACTTATTGTTGTAGGCTCTATTGGGAGAAGTAAACCTTGAGTGATGTAGCTTTGATTTTTAAGTTTGTTCAGGCCTTTAACTGAAATGCAAGTTTCCTTAGATGGAAGTGCCTAATTTTGCACTAGATGCAGGCAACTTAATTTTTAACATTTGGATATAAGAAATTGAATTGAATTAATCTAGTGAAAGGTGTTCCTGCCCATGGCAGGGGGGTTGAACTAGGTAATCTTCAAGCTGTCTTCCAGCCCAAAGCATTCTATGAAATCTGTGGCTTAACTAGTTGTAGCAACAGGAAGCTGATTTTTTTTCTAATAAAGTGAAAACGTGATTCAGGAAATACCAATAACAGCACAGAATTCCTTGGCCCACAGTGTGTGACACCTCTAGGTTACTCTGGAAGTATATTGGATAAGGAGCTTGTCTTGCTTCCAGTATTAGATTTAATGTAACTTCTCCTTATTAGGTGCCTAAACCTGTACATCAGCCAGCTGCAGAATTTTGCTCTACTTCAACTCTTCCAAAAGATCCAGTATTGAGAAGGGAAAAGCTTCAGGATCTGATGACTCAGATACAAGGGACTTACAACTTCATGCAAGTATGTTTTTCTCTGCTGTTGTAACACAAAGCTCCTGTTCCTACTGGGTTAGGGAGAACAGTGCTGACAATGTGTGTTGACACTGAATGAATGAATTTAGCCCTAATTAGCTAAAAGCAGCTTGTCAAGGGAAAATGTTTCATTTGTTTCTAGAGTTTAATTTTTTTTTCTTCCCAATGGTGATCTTCTTTTTGAAAGGAGTCCATTCTGGATTTTGATAAAGCTTCACCAAGTGCCATTGGTTCATCCCAACCTCCTTCAGTTACTCCAGCAAGTAGTCCTGTAGGTAGGTGGTACTATAAGTGTAAATGGTATGTACAATTTTGCAAGCACTGACAGGGTTTGCTTGGGCTGTAGGCCTGGTGAAGATAGCTTGTTTAAATATAAAGAACAGATCATGCTGAAAGACTGGGTGGATCTTGGGCTGTAGAACTCAATTACCCAGTTTATTAATTTTCTTTCTTAATCTCGTAAGTAGATATCTCTTCTTGTGGTAAAAATATTTTTGTCATTGAATACCTGTCCTCTTTTACCAAAAACCTGAAGTCTTCAATTGGGTGTAATTTGCTGATGCTCAGTTTAAATATTTGAATTCCACATGGTAAGAATAGTTTGCATCTTCACATACCAAATGTTTTTAAAAACTAGAACTGCACACCAAAACTACATGTAGTGTTTGAATTTAAAAGTAAATGTTGCTTAATGCATTCTATTTTTACAGCTTCAAAAGAGCAGAAACTGCCAAGTCAGAGTGATTTTCTTCAACAGCCCCTTCAAGTAAGTTGAAGTTAGGACTGCCCTGAAGAGGCAGGTAGAGGTTATTTACCAACATGGACTTATACTTGAGTTGTTTTTCTTGCCAGTAGTTTTGTGTTTCATACCATGTAGTAGCTTGTGAGTCTAAGCTCACTCAAATGCTGACAAAGCTGGCTGCTCTTTTGGTTGAAAAGGGGCAAAAAATGCTTGAAGTTTCTTGAAGTATGTTGAAAACACACTGAAATAGTTTGCATATTTTCCCTTTAGATTCAGGTCATAGCCAGTAGTCATGTGCAGAAGATCAGCTAGTTTCTTTCCTAGATAGGATCTTGAAGATGAAAACACACAACAAAGACTGTATCTCAAGCTTTGGTAGTTGTGGTTAAATGAGCCTTAAATTCAGTCACTGTGCTTGAGTGCCTTATGACTTTTGCTTTTAAATGTGTTTCCTTACCATGAGCAAGAATTTCTAAAAGACTGACTGACTGGTCAAGACACTTCAGTCCCTGAATTATTCTGAGGTTTACTTGGACATGCTGAGGGTGTGAGCTTTAGTGATACCAAACATTTACCAAAACCTTGTCTGTTTTCTCTCCTTGCAAGGCTGCTGCTTCATCAATGGTGCTGCATGGTTCGAACACTTCCCTAGCATCTGCTGATCATGCTCTTTCTGGCTCTGAAGCTGAAGACTTGGTGACACCACAGGTACCATACCCTGGGGCTCACTGGCATTCAGATCTGTGTGACAGCCAGCCCTAAGAGAAAGCTCAGCTGGGCCCCTCCTGAATAACTGGGCTGGAACAACATACAAGTGACAGCAGTGGTACAGCCTACAGTCTGGAATACTTAAAGATGGGTGGCAAATTCTTGCTAATACTGCATGAGTGCAAAGTGAACAGTCTGCTTATTGACACAGGAAGGGTGTGGGATGAAAAGTGCTCACTAAAAAGTGTGGTGCACATTCTTGTGGGAATATGGGAGCAGCATAAATATTTGCTTTGGTTACAGGGTAGAATATTCCATCTAATGATGACAAAGAGGTTGCATAAATTGAGATGGATATTGTCATGAAATTGCAGAGTCTGTGTGTAACCTGAAGACTGAGATATTCTCTCAAACACTAACTGAAGAAATACCAGGAATCTCACTTCCTGATGTTCTGCTAAGACCTAAAACTTTGCTTGCTTAATTCTATTTATGTGCAGATAAACATTCAAATAGTGTTTAGAGCTGAAAAGTTTCACTTTATGCAGACCAGTGTCTTAAAGATCTCCTGTGAATTGTGTTGCTGTGTTTAAGAACACAGCTGGCCCTTTCCTGTTGGATTCTGTAATTCAGAGTGTGTAGATTATAATGGGAAATGTTCTTTTTACATTTGTTTTGCTGATGTACATGTTATCAGCATACTGTGTATGTAGTACTTTATTTCTTAATGTACTATATACTGATAGGGCTATTAGTCTCACAACCTCTTGAATCAGCAGTTTCATCCCAATTCTTGACACTTTCTATCACTTCTACAGTGCCATGAGACTCCTTGTGCTGACAAAAATTCAATAATTCTGCTGTTCAATTTGATTCCAGAAGGCCTGTGCTGTGCTATAAAGTGGAACATCTGATTTTCCTATAGAATACAAACTTATTGTTTGAAATTAGGGTTGCTTGTGACCAGCCTATCTCTAGTCCCTTCAGTTTGAAGACTAGAATCTCTTTCTTTTGTAGGAAAAGCAGTAGCTAAGTTTTGGTCCCAGCAGAGCCAGGGAATACACTCCATGCTGGCAGTGCTCCTCCTGGTGTGCAGGTACACCCCAGTGCTGTCTGAGGCACTGTGATGTGTACATGGTGAGCACAGGACTGGTAGCCTTTAGCCACAGGCTCTGTATTTAAGCATTAAGCAACTCCTATATGTAGCATTACAGGTGTGAGCTAACTCTAGGACACACAGGCTTTGCAAAGCCTTGTTCAACAGAGCTTACCATTTTTTTCCATTTAATTCAGTGAGACAGGTGTGTGTTGCAGACTTCGCTGTAAGGACTTGAAGCAATCTACTGTTCTTAAAATGATCTGACTTTGCAGGGCTAGTTGTGCAACCCATTGTGTAAGAAGAGTAATCTAAATCTGAATCTCTAAAGCTAATTACTTGAAGCTTTGGTTAAGATGACTGTTTAATACTTTGGCTTTGGAATTAATGTTTGTCCTGGTCTTTCAAAATCCATTTGTTTCAACTTAGGCACTGGTGTTTCATAGCTTTACCAGAACTCTGTAGTGCTACTCATAATAGCAGGTGCATTATGGCTTCTTCTAGGCATCAACATCACTTTCTCAAGAGAATGAGAAATATACTTCCCAGCCTCTGTATCAGACAAGTTCACGTATTTCTGAGCCACTGATCCCTAAAAAGATTGAAATTGCCCAGGTGAGCTATCACAAGCAATGTAAATATTTAAGTTGCTGAAATAGTAAGGCTCTAGACATGTCCCTTTTTGACTCCTGTTTTGTGTAAATATTGGTGTTCTAAATCAACACTTCATTTTGCCGTCTGCTCAGCTGAGGCCTGATGCTGGTTAATACTTTGTCTGGACAACTCAGCATTGTTTCTAATCTGAAACATAATTAAGTTGGAAAGGGAAAAAAATCAGAACCCCTAAATTTTCTGAGTTCCTCCAGAAAGGAGAAGTAATTTCTAATATCAGCCAAAGAATCTTTTTACTAAATGGAACAGAAGCGTTCTGTGTGTCCTTAGTGGAGAGAAAAATACCTAATGTCTCCTTATTGTGATATTATTCCAAAGAATGGTATGTATAGTAGCTCATAGGCACATTTCACTTAATCAGCAGAGACTGCAATAGAAGTACTGTTTGCTGAGGATGCACAGCAAGATTTGAAATTGTAAGCAAAAGCTATTTTGTAGCTCTACTATGTCCAAATGTCATCCTGTAGAAACTGCTGACTTCTGTCAGTCTAGGCTTTAGAACAAATTAACTGCTTCTGTTACTGCCTGATAATTATCAAGTGACCTTTCATTACATTTGTTCTTCCCCCAGGCAACTATTCCCCTCCCAAGTGAGCCACAGTCGCCATTGCCTACTTCAAGCACCCCCATGCCATCAGTGCCACCAGCACAAAGCTTTCAGTCTCCTCCAGCAAGCAGCAGCTCTGTCACAATAACAGCAGCTCCCTTTCAGGCTATGCAGACTGTAAGTATGCAACATACAGAAAGAACTGACAACCATGTGAGTAACTTGGGACTAACACTGAGGAGCTGGCTCCTCTTAGGATAGTACAGAAATTGATAGGTCATTTTGTTTTAACAGTAAAATCTAGATTAGTCCTCTGATTCTCTTCAGAACTTAAAACAGATCATCTAAGAACAAAGATCCTGGTTTTGCTCTGTATAGTGCCAAAAAACTAATACTAGGGTATCTTAGTAGCCTTAAGGAGCTAAGAGGGAGAAGTCAGACCTGAAACCAACAGATTGGTAGCGGTGCCCTAAAGTAAGGTGAACTGCACATACACTGTTCTTGGGAAAAGATTTCAAATACAACAGACTTTGTTGGAGAAAAGGAATCCTGAATATAGACATTAGGCCAAAATGCTTTCAGAAGCCTGAGTTTGTCTTGTTATACTGTTTGCTTCAGTGAGGTAAAATTCAGTCCAGTGGAATCCTGGAAAATGTTTTTGGAAAACTGGTGTTGCTCATTATCCTATGTTGTTAACAAGTAGTCAGTTGTACATATCTAGGAAATATACCACACAGTCTGAGATGTTCACTGCAAATAGAATCTGTAATGATATATGGCCTGAAAAAATAGTATCAAACATTGCTACTTCCTAGTAATATGCAGTGCAGGCTTAGAGAGGTTCAGAGGAAGGGTCTTCCTTAAGTACAGGGAAGGTAACATTATTTACTCCTCTGTAACATTCTTCAGAAGATGATAGAAACATTGATTTCATGTTTTTTCTCAACAGCAAGCTTTAGTGTCTCCAAAGGCAGTCTCCATTGTAACAGAAGTACCAGTTAGTTCACAACAGTAACAGTTCACAGCTTGCTGGCCTCTGTCTTGCAGTACTGAGACTGATGTGCTAGGAACTGGTGGAGGAAGGTGTCTAATGGCCTTTCAAATCACAGGAGTTAACAATTAAAACTTCTGTGACATCCTGGTGTGGTCTGTAGTAAAATCCATTGACTTTTTTCTGCTTGGTTTTCTGTATTTGTAGAAGAGGCTCAAGTCAAACCTACCTCAGAGGCACAGAATTGTGATACACATTACAAATGAAGCAACTTGTGGTAGGGAGGTGGTTTTTTTCTAAGCTGCATGTGTTTAAATTATGCTAAGTGGTTGGGTGGTGATTTTTCTGAAAGTGGAGAAGTGGCAGCATGCTGTGATTAAGGAATCCAGAGTCTTTTGGGGACCCAGTCTATAAGATAAGCATCTGTCATGGAACAAATATGGAGTCCTGGTCTCAGTCATTCTGGTTAGGTCTGAACTTGCTGTCTGTGTTCAGAGTGCTTTGATCATAACAATATCACTGAAAATTCACTTGAACTATTACCCTGTTTTCAGAGATGTTAAATGTCTGAGATTGCTCTTGGGATATTTGGGGAAACCTGGCAAACATCTGTCACTCAGTCACAAGGACGTTCATTCCTCTTGTAGTGGTAGAAATCTCAAACTTTGCAGTGCAGGGTTTTCTTCTTCCCTACATTGGTTGGATTCTCATTGCTGTCAGGAAAGCACAGCCATTGGACTGGAGTAGATAAGCCAGGATGATTCCCTGCCAAATAGCACTATCACAGTGACAGTAATGGAAGGATCTGATTACAGGTCCTCAAACATCCCATTGCTGCTGTTGTGCTTACAGAAGCTTAAAGGCAGGCTTGACCTGTAGCCCTAGTCCTTGATTTGAATTCCACCTGTAACCCTCACTGCAGGAAAAAGCAGGCCACTTGCTACTAATTCTTCAGAGTGTGGGTGTTGATGGCCTGACTGCCCTGCCTTCTCAAATTCATTTTAGGACAATGATAGCTTTTTTATTTACCAGATGAAGGGATCAAAAATTAAAAATAAAACAAATCAGTTAGTTTTACTTTACAGTGGTTCAAAATTTATGCTCAACACTTCAGTGTCATGAGGCATTTCTACTGCCTCTTAGAGGCAACACTGGGTTTCTTGACCCTGGAAAAAGTATTATTTTTCTTTTTTTTTTCCATTAAAAGGGCATCTGCAAATGGCAAGAACTGTCAAGCTGTGAAGCTGTTTCTTGCATCATGTAGCTGTGGCTTTTGCCCAAGTCTGTCTTCAGAGAGTTTATAGCCTTGTTAGATACACCTGTAGACTCAGTACCAGTACTGCTGACAGCTCTTTATGTGAAATTTAGATCCTCTTAATCAAAAGAGATGTTGCCTATTTGATGTTGATACTAGTTGTCACTTTTCACAGCATTATTTCTGGTAATTGTGTTATTGGCTATAAAGTAGCACAGTCACTGGAGTGACTGAAGTCTGGGTTATTAGATTTAACTAGCAGTAGTATCTGCTCATCATTGTACTGCCCAGACTATAACATTTGAATGACAAGCTTTACTTAGGTTAAGTGTTTACTCTTGGAGAAGGTTAAACAAGTAGGAAAGATGGAGCTCCATTTACTGAAGAGGCAAATGATGTCTAATATGGCGTTTGAGTGGATAGCAGTGTTTATATCAGGTTCCAAGACATGCAGAAAGATCCAAATTCTTCCCAAATGAGAATATCTCATCTCAGAATAGGCTGCCCCTATTGAGCAGCTTGAGCTGTAGGACAGGTAGTCAGTGGATTTCACAGAGGATTTCCCATAGAAGGACAATAGCTTGTTGTATGGTAGTTGTTCTGCTGACAGAGTACAGTAGCTATGGTCAATCAAGTTGTTCCTTGGGTAGTAGTTCCATAAGCAGGAGTGAGTTCTGTAAGTTTACTGAGAGGGAAAAGGATGGGTTGATGTATGATGTTTTGTTATTTTTAAGAAATAGCTGGTGTTCTGGAAATAAGCTAAAAAGCATATGGATTCAAACCACAGCATGGCAGGGTGGTGGCATTAGGGATGTTAGCTGGTAGTGTTAAGCACTTGTTATCAAATATGTTGTAGGTGTTTAAAGTGAATGCACCACTGCCTCCACGTAAAGACCAGGAAATTAAAGAGGATTCTTCATATTCAGCGGGATATAACCAGAGCTTCTCCACAGCAAGTACACAGACTCCTCCTCAATGCCAGCTGCAATCTTCTCATGTTGCAGAACAAACCTCTCTTTCACAAGAATCTCTGTCTTCAGGTAAGAACTGCACTTGCACCTGTATTTCAAATAGTCTTTCAATATGTTCAGTTTATAATAGTATTTAAATTCACTATCATGTGCTGTGAATACTTCTAACCAGTGAAATTCTTAACAGGTGCTACATAAATGTCTAATATTAGGCATACATCAACTCTAATGTAGTTGATGGTATGTAAACTTAATTTAAAAACTGCTAGCAGGATGAAAGGCTGGTTCAAACTTGTTTCTATATGAGATGAACAGACTGTTGTCACTTACATGCCTGAATTTCCCAGTAGGTGAGAAATTCAAATATGTGGTGATACTTGCCAGTCAAACAATGATTTGCTTGGAATAGTAGCAAATGATGAAATACTTTTATTTGGAACCATTAATTTTGTCTCTGGTAATAGTGCTGTCAGTGCTGGGAGCTGCTGAATGCTAAGTAGGAAAGCTGGGATAAGTTTTCAGTCTGACCTGAGAAATACTGAGCTAGTAAGGGGTCTTCAACACAAACCTGACTTACTTGATGTTCAGGTATTGCAAGAGGTGGGTTTGTATAGCTAATGCTAAATTTGACATGAAACTGGCCCCTAAATATCTTGAGGTTTTAGGGTGAAAGCAAGTGGCAACTAAGGATCTGTATTTATAAGGCAATATAATGAAATGGCTCAAGGTCACTTACAACTGTTGTTCTGCCAGAGGGATTGTCACAGGTCTTAGACTAGAAACAGACTGAGAGTGTGTCAAGTCAATGAGACATAAAGAACAGTGTAAGTGTAGCAATCAGGAAAGCATGTTTAGCTTCAGTGTTCCTTTTCATCGCTGAGACTATGGGTGATAAGCCTTCTGTTTTTTTTTTTGTGGAAAATCATAATTTTTTAATAGCCTTGTGCAATGGCTCTGCACACACTTCACACAGAGGTTTATACTGTTGTTCTGGATCAATTTTAAGCTTTTTGGATTGAAATAAAGCAGGATCTTGTGGAAATAAAGTCATGGTTGCAAGGTTTGTGTTTAAAGCTAACCACTCACCCTTGTGAGTGAAAAGCATTCTTGAATACATTTTTCTTGAAGGGCCTAATATATGGTAGGAATGTTTATTGAAGAGATTGAATGCAAATATCTGCTTTCCACAGTTACCTTATTACTATCTAGGTGTAATGGAGTTTGTCTTGCTGTTTCAAGGGATGTCAATCCTGAGGTGACCTAGTTTATCAGTGGAAATTCTTAATCAAATGTTACTTGATTTTAAGCTAGATTTGGCTATTTTCATGCTGCTGGCAAGCTGGTTCTCACCTGTGCAACTGACTCCTGTTGAATGCATTAGGGGCTTGCACTCAGAGCAAGCTTTTAACAAGCACTACACTTTACAAAACAAAGGGAAGGATCCAATCACTTAAATGAAGTAATGAAGGGACAGAAGAACAGACTATTCAGAGCAGCTTAATTGGTCTCTGAATGTCCTAATACTGCCCTTGCTTCTGTGTGTGGTAACTCACTGCAGTTATAAAAAGCTTTGACTTATCTGTGCCTTCTGTTTTAAGCAGTGAACTATCAACCTGATGGAGCTGTTCCTGTCAGCAATGGTAGCCTTGCCTTTTATCCAGCACAGGCTAATGTTATTCCCAGACCCCCTCAGCCTTACCTCAACAGTCGTGGGTCTGTCAGAGGGTCTGCTAGAGGTGGAAGGTCACTGGCTAATTCCTATCGCCCCCCTGGTGGGTACAAAGGTAGGTCTGTATTTACTATCATCCTAAAGAACATCTAATGTCCTGCCAGTAGAATGTGATTTAACACAACACACTATTAAATTCATGTCCTGTATGTGAAATGTCTCAAAACAAGACTTTAAGGGCAATGTGCAGAGAATGGGGCCCTCTGTTGTAGAATTTAAGGAAGTTCATTCTACCTTTTATTTGTGGTCCCTCTACTTGAGATGTCAGGCCAAATGGCAGAGCAATTTCACAGCTTGCCTGAATATGGAGATGGAAACTTTCACTAATAGGTTATTAGATTACTCATATGGACTTTTCTGTTAGCAATTTCATTTGTTCTTTCTGAACTTTTTACCAACTTAATTCTTTCTCTTGGTATCTTGCTGACAAACTGGGCAGGCCAGTTTCCTCTTCACATACTACTTACTGTGTTTGTGCAAAATAAAGTAATTTTTGCTTAGCACTGCTCACTTTAATATTACCAGCAGAAACCAGGATGGGGAGAGGCTCCCAGTAGCAAAGAGCCCTTCTAGACAAATAACAAACTGAAGAGTTCTATGAGGAAGCTTATTTGGTCTTGGCAGAGCAGTTATTCTTTGGCTGCTACCTGAAGTACTTTAGAGAGTTTCAGCAGACTTTAGGCAGTTACTAAATTAAGGTTGTTGGTAGCAACCAGCTGCAGGCTGTGGCCTTCGCCCCTTTGAAGTGAAGGGCACTTAGTCTGTGATAGGTGCTTCAGCTGTTGGGCTGAGCCTGCTCAGTACCTTGTAGGAACATGTACAGATGATGAGTTTTATAGTTCTGACTCAATAACAGTCCTGGGTTTGGTGGTGTCTGGTATGAAATTATTTGCAGCTCTGCTTTGGTAGTTAAAAAATAGCTTAAGTGGCAAAATATTATAGTAGCCCCTAAATGTATACCAGTAATAGCTCAGTGTGTGTAACAGAAAAGAAAGTTTCTTAATCCCACTGCTGGATTTAGCAAGCTTTTCAGCTTTTCTGACATCCCTTTAGTATCACAGGCAATGGATAGGGCCTGATGTTAATACTTTTAAATACAGAGTTTTGATATAGCCATAGTGTCTAAGTTATGAGTAGCTAATGAAATGCATTTGTTATAGGAGTAGCAAGGTTCCTATTCAAGTCCAAATTTAAGAATGGCTCTGTTACTGCATAACTTAATGTACATAATTGCCAAAAAACATCTGTAGTTAAATTCTGGACTTGTATTGTAAATCAAACAGTAAATGATACTGAATAATCAACTTTATTTGAACAGGTTTTGATGCTTACAGAGGTTCACCTTCGTTAACCAATGGCAACTATGGCCAGCTACAGTTTCCTGGTAGAGATTATGCTGGAATGCCATATTCTCAGAGGGTAGGTATTGACTTTATTTCCAGTAGCCTTCCACTGTACAGGAGCCAAATCTAACATGGTAGTTTTTAATTATCAGGTGACCTTATAAGCTATAGAGGTTAGTTTTGTTTCACAGACAAACCTTTTTGTGGAATGGTAGACAGCAGCTGAAATAAGTCACTTCAGACAGGTAACATCTCTGTATGACAGGTTGATTTTAGTCTGAAATGCATCTTTGAAATGCAAACAGATGGTAAATAACATATTGTATGGGCCCAGTTTATTATTTTAAAAGAGTTGGTTCACTGAAATGCCTCTGTAATGTAAAATAATCAACTCCTAAATGGACTGGCTGAGAATGTGGCTAGGCCAAAACCCCAAAAATAATAAAAAAAAATTAAGGAGGTAAAGGTTCCTGGTGTGAGATGAGTCTGTCAATGTCTTCTGTGCAGGTTCATGGACTTAGAACAGACTTGAGATTCAAGGGTATTGCTCAGTAATCTCAACTGTTCAGAAGCCAATTTGCTTCAACTGGCATCAAAATGATCTTTAATTTCATACAAGCTATTATAATAAAGTGAATCTTCCATAAGTAAAGCTGTTTATCTGCATTTTGTTTCTGAACTGTCATTGTATTTTAGAGATGGAATTCCTTGTGAAAAAAGTGTATTACTGCAATTGAGTTCAGATTTGCTTATAGCCATCTTCTAACACGTCTCTTTCAGGATGTCAATTACCAGCAGTGCTATAAAAGAGGTGGGATAAGTAGTGGTCCTCGAGCAAATTCAAGAGGTAAGGCCAACACCAGGCCCCCAGTGGGTCCAGTGTGTGCTTAGGCATTGCAGCTGGGGTGTTACTGGGAACAGTGTGAAAAGCAGAACCAGTATCCCTTACCTAACAGATCAAGCTTGGTGAAAGCTAACCGAGCTTAGCTGGAGGCTTCAGTGCTGTTCTTCCACAGCATTGCACAGCAGAGGATTTAATTTCACTATTTTTAGTCTGGAGTCTTCATGTCAAAATTGTGACACGATGGTACCTTATTGAACTTCACAAATAACTTGGCTAGGAAAAAACAGCAGTTCCCTGTGTTCAGGGAAGGAGCACTGGGTGTCTCCCCGTAAGTGTGTATTCCTCCCTTATTCTGGGTAGGCTATCACATCACAGAGACTTTGTAAAATAATTTTTTTCTATGAAAATGTATTTGGTAATACAGGTATTTGTATTTCCATAGTGGAGTACAAAACCTAAAGAAATAAATAAGGCTAGTTGTGTCCAAGGATGAATAGCATGTTTTTTGAAGAGCTGGAAACCAGATTAATTGTTTCTGCTGTATGTGCTGGAAAAATATGGACTTCCAGTGCTACAGGTGAGAAGTGAGATGAAGAGTAGCTGTAGATCTCTATTTTAGAGACTAAAGAGAAATTGTAGTGTATTGTCGAAGCTGCTTTAGGATTACACAGGTCATATCCTAGCTTGAGGGACAGAATATATTTCAGAAGAGAACTAAATAGATGATGGTGGATTAACAGCTGATGAAAGTACTCATTAGCATTAGGATCTCACAGCTACTCCACTTATTTTAATGTCTGTCTTAAGGTGTTGTTTTCCAGTGAAAATAACAATGGTTTGCAGCTTGACTGTGACTGCTCTAAATGTCTCAGCTCTAATAAGGTTTTCATTCTACACCCTTTTAACTTGGATATTTGGCAAGATTAACAGCTTTATTTTGGGGAGTGAGGTGCAGAAGACTTAAAAGCAACACTGGTTTGTCAGACTTTAAATATTCTAGCATCATAAGTTGACAAGGTCTATGAGAAATGCAACTGCAGAAGGACAGTGTTGAGTAACATAAAGTGAAAATAGAGATCTTGAAAATAACTTGCCTCTAACTTTGTCGGTGTTTTCAGCAGTTAGATTTTATTTCGTCTCAGAAGTTAGCATATGCTTTTTAAGTTAAGTATCATATGCAAAAAAGCAAAAAAAGGCAAAAACAATTACAACCTGCTGCCCTCTCCTACTTGGAAGTACAAGAAGTAATTGTTCATAGTTCAGCTATGTCTCATCCTGCTCAATGCAAGTGTGATGAATGTGAGCCAGCTTCCAAGTTGTGTTTTCACTGGGGTCCTTTGACAATTTGCTTTGGCTCAAAGATCAATCTGCTGCAAAGCCTGTACACTTAAAATTATGCCCACAGGCTTAAGGGTATCCTCCTGTTACAATACTTAGTGCTGCTAATGGTTTTTAACAGCAGGGTGGAGTGACTCCTCTCAGGTGAGCAGCCCAGAACGAGACAATGAGACCTTTAACAGTGGGGACTCTGGGCAGGGGGACTCACGCAGCATCACGCCTGTGGACATGCCGGTGACCAGCCAGGCCGCCACCATCCTGCCGGTGCACGTGTACCCGCTGCCGCAGCAGATGAGGGTCGCCTTCTCCGCCGCCCGAACGTCCAACCTGGCCCCCGGAACTCTGGACCAGCCCATTGTGTTTGACCTGCTGCTCAATAACCTTGGAGAAACTTTTGATATCCAGCTTGGGAGGTTCAACTGTCCAGTGAATGGTACCTATGTCTTCATCTTCCACATGCTGAAACTGGCTGTCAATGTCCCTCTGTACGTGAATCTCATGAAGAATGAGGAGGTCCTTGTGTCGGCCTATGCCAATGATGGGGCTCCTGACCATGAGACAGCCAGTAACCACGCGGTCCTGCAGCTCTTCCAGGGAGATCAGATCTGGCTACGGCTGCATCGGGGAGCCATCTATGGAAGTAGCTGGAAATACTCCACCTTTTCGGGATACCTCCTTTATCAGGACTAAAATCCAGTGCAATGTTTACAAAAGAGCTGCTCCAAACACCTTGGTGAGGGGGGTGGGACTAGCTTTGCACTTATTACTGACTTTATAGAGGATATGTGGTTCCATTATTGGTGGGAAATGGTGGTCCTGTTTTGCAAGGTGAAATCATGGAGTTGGGGTACTGAATCAGCACTAATTTGGCACTTTATCAGTTGTGATGTAGCTTTGCTAATAAAGCTGTGAATGTATATTGTTTGCACTTACCCTAAACTGTATTAATGTCCAGCTTACTACACTATTGATTGCCTCAAGTATGGGCTATTCACAATGCCTTGTTGTGCCTCAATAAAACAAGTTAATATGCATTTTAGTATTAATCTTGCCCGTGGTTTTAATTTTAAGACACATCACTGACATTTTTCCTGATGTGGGGTGAATATGAATATTACATAGAACTGGTCTCCAAGTTTCAATAATTTAGGGTAGTTTGTATTTAACTGGGATTGTTTTAGTTCCTGCTTAATGCCATTCTCAAGAGTGCTACCTTGATCAAATGAATTCAAGATTTAGCTACCTTTTTTCTTTCTAAAGGTCAAGCAATTACAAGTGCAATGCTACATACTTCATTAGAACTACTGCTTTTAAATACGTACCCTGTCAAAACCTAGTATGGTCATCATAGCATCAGTCTTTCAGAAGTGAAGTAGTTGAAATTCTTAAACCTGCAAACCATCACTCAAGGGGCTGGCTTACACTGTTATTCAGCTGCAATATATTTTAAAGTTAAATTCAACTTTATGAAGCATAAATGTGTATGGCTTCCCCCCTGCATGAGACTTGAATCATATTTTAATACAGGTTATTTCCTCATTTCAGAGAACTGCTGAGGAACTTGGTATTTGTAGTTGAAGCCTGGTGCTTGCGTTTTACATCAAACCTGAATACCAATGGTAGGAAGTGTTTCCGAAATCCCTGTCTTAAAGCTCTTGGGCTTTTTGACCAGCCTTCAGCACTCCTGTGGCCTGAGAACTGAACAGCCGTGATGTATGTCCTTGTCTAAGCTGCTGTGTCAAATACTATAAATAGTTTCAATGCTTAAAATGGTAATATGAACTAGTAAGAAGGTAGGTCAGTGTCTCTCTCTCCTTTCAAAAGCTTCAGTAAATTGTTTTAACAGTAGAAAGCACTTGATCTGAGTGTACTAAATTAGCCAGTGCACGAGCCTGACTGGTATATCTAAGGCTGAAGCAGAACTATGCAGAGTGAAAGCAACTATCTGCTTATTTAAATAAAAGTAAGAACCTTAACTGAACAAACTTCAGACCTGGTGTAAAGCTGCTGTTTCTTGCTAAGTGGTTTCACAGCTTCCAACTTCAGTTTGCCCTCGCTATCATGCAGATGCCAAAACCAGTCTGCCATGGCTTCATAAAGTTACTGGCATAAAGATCTTGTTCCAAGCTCAACTTTCTTTTTCATACAGATTTTGAGGGTGCTCATGTTTCAAGTAGGGGTTTAGCAAATTTTGAGAGAAGTTGAGGTAGGACAAGCTTTGGGAAACCTTGTTTTTACCAGTACAAAAATGTCAAGCCTTATCTATTGTATATTAAGCCAGTATTTGGTATTTTAAAACATGCTAGTTCTGACTTTAGGCAACAAAGAGGCTTATTTCTAGAGCACACACTACAGAATTAGTGGCAGTTTAACTTGATAAGAGGTAAATGTTCCAGTTTCATAGCTGTATCTTAAGATCCATTTTTCATTCCTAGCTAAAAGGAGTACACAGTTACAGCCAGAATTGTGCAGGTAAGATGATATAGAAAATTTAATTATACAATTCCTTGACCGTAGGTTATGTAATGGATGTTTTTTTTAAAAAGTGACCATTTTTAGGCTTTAGCCTGAATCATAATATAATCTTTACAGTAGTAGATAATTTAAAATAAAATGTCTGGCTTGTCCTGCTATTTTTATTTGAAAAGAATACATAACTTGGAGAAGTCTCATCCCTTAGAATAACTAAAAAATATGACTGACTTGTAGGTTTCACACATGCAACTTTTTAAGCTAGAACTGTTTGTTTTCACTGTGTTTTTAGCCAGCTGTGAACTGAGGTTTTATTAACCTCTGTTACCAAAAGGAGGGTAAGTACAACTGAACAGGTACTGTCCTAAGGAAGGTTTCAGACTAGAAGCAACTCCAAAGGCTGTAACTGAACCTTAAATGCTAAGACTGTTTAAAAAAACACTACAGAAGACCAAGCCAAACACTTTTTTTCCATACACATAGCTGGCCAAAATCCACTGGTAGAAAATTGCTATTCTGATCCCCAAAATACCTAAAATTGTTATATAATTTTTCTATGATGACAAGCACAAGGGTAGGGATATGTCATTATGCTTCTAGATAATGAATAATTATAATAATTGTTTTTGAAAGCTTCTCAAAGGACTTCAGAATATTTCAGTGCATTTTCTACTGACACAGTTTTAGTCTAGTCAGTATGTCCAGACCAATGACCTATTTCTTTATTCTGCTTTTGGGCAAAGCATTTAACAGGTGAGTTTCACAACCTGGAAATACTTTACTGTGTAGTTTTCATGTAAATACTGTCTGACGGTGTAAGTTCTATTTACACTTCTTTTTCCTCAGTAATTGTTAAATAAATTGATTGAATCATTTCAATAGGACAAAAAGGCCTTCACTATGTAAGGATTATAATCGGGTCTAATTAAAACATACAAAAGGTCATCATCATTCTGCTAAATTTCCTATTGCTGTCCGCTGTGCAAATTGGATACCACCTAAATTCTCTCTGATTTGCTTCTCTCGTGCAGCCTGCTGAAGATAAACTTTTAAGGTAAGAAACATTGTTTTTATAAGGAGTAAATTTCTGTGTTTCCTTCTCTTGACATCAGTGAAATATTGGAACTACCCTGAAATGGGAGAGTGTAATGGTTTGGCTGGGAGAGAGTGAATTTTAATCAAAGTAACTGATATGGGGCTGTATTTGGATTTGTGACCAAAACTGTGTTGGTAACTCAGGGATGTTTTGGTTATTGCCAAGCAGGCCTTGCACAGAGTCAAGGCCTTTTCTGCCTCTGACACTGCCCCACCAGTGAGTGGGGATCACAAGGATTTGGGAGGGGTTAAAGCCAGGACAGCTGATCCCAACTGACCCAAGGGATGATACCCCAGCCCACACGATGATGATGATGATGTACTTAGCAATACAAGCTGGGGGAAGAAGGAGGAGAGTGGGACATTTGAGTTGTGGTGTCTGACATCCAAAGTCACTGTTCCATGTGATGGAGCCCTGCTTTCCTGGAAATGGCTGAACACCTGCCTGCCCATGGGAAGTGGGGAATGAATTCCTGTCTTGGCTTTGCTTGAGTTTCTGCTTTACCTGTTAAACTGTCTTTATCTGAACCCACAGGCTTTCTCACTTTGGCCTTTCCAGTTCTTTTCCCTGTCCCATTGCAGGGGAGTGGGGCTGAGCTGCCAGCTCAGGGGGGTTCAACTGTGACAGAGGCTTTCTTAAAGTTTTCAAAATTCTAGTGGACTTGTGACTTTTGTGGGGTTTTTCTCAGGTCATGGAAGTGAGGGGGGACAATGAATAATCTCCCACCACCACTGCCATGGCTGACTTCCTGCAGCTGAGGAAACCTCCATCCTGCAGGCTGCAGTGGTGCTGCAGAGAAGTCACTGCCCTGTCCTGCTGGTTAAGTTTAGGTTGCCTCTTCCTCCCTGACTGTTTTGTTACCTACAGCTATGCCAACAAACCAGTCAGAGAGGGAGATGCTTTGGCATTTTAACTCTGATCAAGAGGTTTGTGTCTGGAAGATTGGAATACATTTATCTGCTAGCTCTTTATTCAACCTATAAATGTCTTGTGAAGGATATGAAAAGTCTGTTGTGTATTATATTTAGAGAGATGCAGTACCATAACCAGGTAAAAATGAATTAACCTTAGTCACACACTTGTTCACAAGTCTCTGATCAACTTAATTTTCACCCAACTATTGTTTATAAACTTTATATACTGTTTATAACTATTCTTTATAAACAATTCTGTTAAGAATGCAAGAAACCTTAGGCATTTGTATTTTTGGATTGAATGTTTCCTGGCAGTGTTGTACTTGAAAAAATAATATTGTGAAGTACTAATCTGGTTGGAAACTATTAGTTCACAGCTTTTCCACAGCTGGCACGTCCTACAGCTTTTGGGCCCTAGAGTAAGGTTTGACAAGTGGTTGGTATAGAATGAAGGCTTTATGCTAAGCACATATCCAATCACTTTAGTGATCATTAGTTATCATTTAGTCATTAATTCACTACAATGAAATAAAGCCTGCTTTGAGAGCAGTGGTTTGCTTTCAGCCTGTAGCACATCACACAGAGGAATGCTGTCTTCTTTCTCATGCTTTTTCAGGAGTGTCTGTTATTAACCACAGCTGACAGGTGCTGTCCTAAAGGCACTTGGTTGGCATGAAAAGAGAGGGGCTGTTCCATGCCACAGAAAGTGTGTAATGTGCAGGTGAGAGCCCACCAGAGTGCATTTCAAAGTCACCAAAAGTCAAAGGACTGTCGCAAGTAACCGGCAAGATGTAAGGCTTTTCAAGTTTTCCCCAAAGTTCTTGAATTTAATACAGTAGTCTTGATGGCAACTCTGTAAAGAACCAGGTCTAATTTTTGTTCAGGTCAAACTGGTTACTTTGAAAATCCTTGGTTTCACAACTGAGTTTTAAAATAAGATTGTTTGTTCTAAATACTTCACAAAACTTGTTATAGCACACCTGGAAAGATTTGGAGCTTTAAAAAACCCCACATTTTTGCTTTGCATTATCACCCTATCTCCCTGGTACTATCATTTTTTTTTTTTTCCCTTCCTTGTATACTGGTGCAACTTTGATTTAATTTTAGTTTTTTAATATCTCATTTGTCCCTTCACATTGGATCTTCTGGCACCAGCAGCTGACAGGAAAAATCTCTGAATTTTACCTCAGATTTTTTATTTGCAGAGTAGCAGAACAGATTTAAAAAACCAAACCCAAACATTCATTGTAAGTAGATGAAACCCCAAATATTAACAGAATCTTTGCTCTAACAAAAAGGCATATGAGGTCTTGCTTACAAGCAGTTGCTTTCATCCTGAAGTTTATGAAGTCACATTAAAATATTTCAATTAATGACTAAACTTATTTTTGGACTAATATAGTCACTGGTATCTATGAAGGTTCATGTTGTACAGAAAGAAGTATTGGGCATCCAGAAAACAGGCAGACTACAATGCTTGCAACACTGAAAGTGCCATTTTAAATATAAGTGGTAAGTGCAATAAAATTCATTTTAGGAAGATGTTATAATACCCTT